ATCCGACTCGTTGACCATTGTTTGCGATCACAACTCAAGACTGGATTCAATGGAAATATTGTGGAAACCAATGGTTCACTCAATGCCTGCAAACGTGTATTGAATTCACTTTTATAGCAATCAATGTGTGAATGACTGATGAAATCTATGCATTCATTGCTTACTCTATTGCACACTCGTTACAGCATTACATTCACTCATATATAACGTTACGATTATGAGGAGAGGGGCAGTAAAGGGATGGAAGGCATCGCAAGTTTCATGTAATCTTAAGCATAGTTTGAAAACACAAAGGGGTCTATAAAAGTGTATTAAACGTAACGTTATTTAATGATAATTAGAAAACAATTACAGGTGAAAGAGAATGATTAAAATATTTTCAACCCTTTATTCATAGGAATAAAAACGTAAAAACAATAAAAACCCGTTTTTTTGATACCAAATACAAAGCAATAGAAAAAGAATGAAATAAAAGCACGAAATGAATGCGTATTTGATTTTCCATACAAAAGCATAGAATGAATAATGAGTTCAATAGTAGACACCAGATGTCAGCGAATGTGTGGCAAAAAGTTTAGCATTCAATGAATGGAACGGAGAATTGGAATCGAATTGAACGCCGAATATTAAACCGAATGATAGAGTCGTCACTCAATTGGACTCACATTCAGTGGCATTGACTCACAGTTTGAATGCCATTACAATTGATTTGCAAACCAAGCGTTCGATTGTTGCACACATTTGTGACACTTTTCCGACGTTTCGGTTGTAATAAAACTTTTTGTCAAAGAATTCATAGTTTTGTGACACAATTGACGGCAATTTGAACACAAAATCGGTATTCATTTGAAGTGTTTGTGAGAAGCAGTCATTCAGTCATTCAGTTGTCTCTCAAATGCCATTCATTTGCGATTCAATTGTTTGAATGCTTTTCATGTCTTCTATTCAAACACTTGAAGACAATTAGAGACAACTTCTTCGACAACACATACGAGACATGAATCGAGACTTGAGAGCAATGTTTGGATCCATGTATGCGACGACTTCTTCAGCTGTGGTGTCATCGCAAGCGTACGAACCCATGGAAGCCATGGATAGGACTACTCGTGAGGAATATTCAACGGACGGAACACTTCTGCGGAAAGTGTCAGAACTGGCGCCGAAGTATCGCTCAGTTTTCGGGCAAAGGTTTCCCGTCTTTAATGTGATTCAATCGAAAGTCTTCGACGACGTCTTGTCGTCAAACAAATCCATTAGTAATGACTCGAAAAGACATATCCATTGATGTGTTGTTCACTGTATTAACTCATGTCTCAATGCATAGCCATCNGTTAGGTTTGCATTGTTTGGGCTTTTTTGCCGAGTTGTCAGTCTTTTCGCCTGCATTTTGTTGCCTTTTATTTTTTGTGACCTATTTTTCAAAGTATCGGTTGTTTTAAAATAATTAGAGGAAAAAAGACAGCTTTGAACGTAAAGTAAACCAAATGAATACCTGTTTGCTATGAGCGCTGTCAGTGTTTAAGCCTTTCTTGCAACAGATGTGAAGACAAGTACTTTTATTGAAGCATTTGTGTTGACAACAGCCCTCACTCTCACTCCTGTCGCTCGATTCCCACGATGTGTCTGAGAAAGCAGTCGAACGGTTGGCCCGATTTGGATCAGCTGTCGGACGGAAGGCATCTGCATCTGCAGTGTTGGCAAACACTGGCTTAAGCCTACACTCGACGTCCAGACCCACGAATGAATCGCTAATGAGATGAGCCCTTATGTATACACTCCTGTCGTTGCGATTAATTGCTATGTCTCTGGTCTCGAAAACTCCATTATTTTTAATTAAATGCGAGTCAAAGAGTTTATTGCAATAAAACAATTGGTTGTCTTCATTGCATACAATTAGGAAACAGCAGTGATTTTGAACCAAAACTAGTCTTTCCCTCAGAAGCTCTATATTCTCCAGTTTTGCCACTAATCTAACCATTGCTTCACTACTCTTAAGCCCTTTATTCATATTCTGTTCGATTGTCAGCGAATAATACGGCAAATGTTTGACCTAAACATGCATTCAGTCATTCAGTCATCATTTATATCATTAGCTTTTAATTATATAACAGAGAAATACCTCTTCAATCAATTGGCGCCCAAACGGTGGGTTTCTTTTGAGGCAAAATTCCAGATCTCTTGGATCGGCATTTTTGATGTGATTGAAGCCAATGAGTCCCCTCTCAACCAAAGCCTTTGAGTATTTCTGTCCGATTCGGTTCAACTGAATGGCCACTTGTGTGGAGTCGTACCATAACTTTGCTTTGAAACACTTGTTCAGTAGTATAGCGTTGAGTAAACTCTTGGAATTAATCACATTTGGATTGACTTTGACTTTGAAATAAATCACTTCAGACAAGCATTTGCTGAGTCGCTGACCGGTTCTCATGATTTTGAGTGAATCCTGAATGAGAGTCGTGTCCTGTATTGACATCAATCCAAAGGTGGCCTGAATTAAGCAATTGGTTTTCAGTTCGGCGCTCTTTATTTTGCCGCTAATCGGGAATCTAATGGTCGTCTGATTCGCGCTTTTGTTCATTTCGTTCAGAATTGACTTCTCATTCACTCTGAGTTGGATCTCTTGTCTGATTTCAAGGCAAGTAGTGATCTCTTCGATCACATCCTTGAGTGACATCTCTTTCGAGGTTATTTCGCAGAACTTCTTCATTGTCTGCAACGAAATCGAATGCTTTGCCATCAGTCGACCCAAAGGCGTGGATGAGATTTGAGTGAACTCTGCATCACTTGAGATCATATCTGACTCTCGAAGTCCAGTCAACTCTTTGCGACACCAGTTGCGGACCATCTGAAGGCACTGTTCGGTGTTAGACATCTGGACAGTACTGCCATAATAGGAGGGGTTCTGCATGACTCGGATGTAGAGAAACGTGGATTGAATCCAATTGATAGCGATGTCAATGGATGTGACAGTTCTGAGCGCTATCTCAGCGTTCAGGTGTTCGACCAAATTCTTGTGTAAATTGCTTTCAATGATTTGCGTTCCCGTCAGAAGTCTCTCGTATTTGGCTTTAGTCTCCTCTTTGGTCATAATGATAGCGAAGGCATTCCTATCGAACTGCGGTCTTCCCGCCCGACCTATCATTTGCAGGATTTGTGTCTCCGGGTAGTCGTGACACCCGTTCGGTGTGTATTGAGTGGTATTCTTAACGATAACCAAATGCGCCGGTAGATTGACTCCCATTGCCAGAGTGGTGGTCGATATGAGCACTGGGATGAGACACTCAAGGAATAGGCCTTCCACTGCCGCTCTAATTGGAAATTAAAAAATTTAATAATGAATAGTCTTTCCCATAGGAAACCCAAACCTGTCCGCTCTGTCCAGACCCGAGTGATGGAATCCAACGCCCTTTTGGAGGCACGCCTTCAGATCGGAAGCCTTCACTGAATTGACTTTTTTGGTTAAAGACATTCGTTGTTCGTATGAATTAAACAAATTCATGGATGACTTGCAGAGGGTCTGAGCCGTCATTACCACTGACTTACGGGTCGAACAGAATATTAGAGTGGGTTTTGATTCCGAATAACCCCTTATAAGTGAATCCAATTTGTAAGTCAACTGAATGTCAAACCGGAAGTCAGTCCAACTTTTTTGGCACTGATATCCCATCACAATCTTCTGCAGTCGCACCGGACGTAGTGTTTCCGACAGGTTATAGCCGACAGCGTTGTTGGGGTCCAACCACTGGGAGATGTCGTCCACATTGGGAGCGGTGGCCGACGCCGCTATGAACCGCAACTGTGGACCGGAACTGTTGGCCAACATAACCGATCGCAATGTCTTCATACGACTGATGACGGCCTCAATGGTGGCACCCCTGGTCTCGTCATTGATTGAGTGGATCTCATCGATAAGCATGAGTTGAATGCCACGAATCAAAGAGCTTTGTTCGTTGTTTCTCAACATATAATCCCATTTCTCGGGTGTCGTCACCACTATATTCACGTCCCGGAGCTTCTCGTAGTCCTGGATATCGCTGTCACCCGTCAGCTGAAGACAGTTCAGTCCAAACCTCTCGAAAGAGCGCTTCAATTCAGTGTACTTTTCGTCGCATAGTTTCTTCAGTGGAGCCATATATACGGTCTTCAGATCACTCATTGGACACCCGTTTGCCTCCAAATCCATCAACTCTTTAATGATTGCCATTTCAAAGACAACAGTCTTTCCGGAACCGGTCGGCGCTGAGATGGCTATGCATTGAGACATGAGTTAATACAGTGAACAACACATCAATGGATATGTCTTTTCGAGTCATTACTAATGGATTTGTTTGACGACAAGACGTCGTCGAAGACTTTCGATTGAATCACATTAAAGACGGGAAACCTTTGCCCGAAAACTGAGCGATACTTCGGCGCCAGTTCTGACACTTTCCGCAGAAGTGTTCCGTCCGTTGAATATTCCTCACGAGTAGTCCTATCCATGGCTTCCATGGGTTCGTACGCTTGCGATGACACCACAGCTGAAGAAGTCGTCGCATACATGGATCCAAACATTGCTCTCAAGTCTCGATTCATGTCTCGTATGTGTTGTCGAAGAAGTTGTCTCTAATTGTCTTCAAGTGTTTGAATAGAAGACATGAAAAGCATTCAAACAATTGAATCGCAAATGAATGGCATTTGAGAGACAACTGAATGACTGAATGACTGCTTCTCACAAACACTTCAAATGAATACCGATTTTGTGTTCAAATTGCCGTCAATTGTGTCACAAAACTATGAATTCTTTGACAAAAAGTTTTATTACAACCGAAACGTCGGAAAAGTGTCACAAATGTGTGGAACAATCGAACGCTTTGTTTGCAAACCAATTGTAATGGCATTCAAACTGTGAGTCAATGCCACTGAATGTGAGTCCAATTGAGTGACGACTCTATGATTCGGTCTAATATTCGGCGTTCAATTCGATTCCAATTCTCCGTTCCATTCATTGAATGCTAAACTTTTTGCCACACATTCGCTGACATCTGGTGTCTACTATTGAACTCATTATTCATTCTATGCTTTTGTATGGAAAATCAAATACGCATTCATTTCGTGCTTTTATTTCATTCTTTTTCTATTGCTTTGTATTTGGTATCAAAAAACGGGTTTTTATTGTTTTTACGTTTTTATTCCTATGAATAAAGGGTTGAAAATATTTTAATCATTCTCTTTCACCTGTAATTGTTTTCCAATTATCATTAAATAACGTTACGTTTAATACACTTTTATAGACCCCTTTGTGTTTTCAAACTATGCTTAAGATTACATGAAACTTGCGATGCCTTCCATCCCTTCACTGCCCCTCTCCTCATAATCGTAACGTTATATATGAGTGAATGTAATGCTGTAATGTGTGTGCAATGCATGGCTTTCATAGAGTAAGCAATGAATGCATAGATTTCATCAGTCATTCATACATTGATTGCTATAAAAGTGAATTCAATACACGTTTGCAGGCATTGAGTGAACCATTGGTTTCCACAATATTTCCATTGAATCCAGTCTTGAGTTGTGATCGCAAACAATGGTCAACGAGTCGGATGGCAAACAATCAGGCGCTCCATCGGTTCCGACAGACACTGAGGCCGCCAATGGATCCGAAGTGAAGCCGAAGAGCGAGAAGGAGCTGAAGAAAGAGGCGCTGAAAAGGGCTAAACTCGAGAAGTTTAACGAAAAGCAACAGAAGTTGAAGCAATTGAGTGATAATAAGACGAAGAGTGACACCAATGACACCAAAAAGGATAATAAAAAGGAGAAGAAGGAGAAGACGGTCGTCACATACGACCGACAGATCAAAGCCGGCGACAAGAAGGACGTGACGTCGGATCCAATGCCGGACTCATATTCACCGAAATATGTTGAGAGCGTATGGTATGACTGGTGGGAGAGGGAGGGCTTCTTTACGCCCGAATACGGCCGAGACGTGACTCAACCCAACCCTAAGGGACAGTTCGTTATGGTGATCCCTCCGCCAAACGTGACGGGAGTCCTTCATTTGGGCCACGCGTTGACGAACGCCATCGAAGACTCGGTGACGCGATGGCATCGCATGAAAGGGCGGACCACTCTCTGGAACCCCGGCTGCGATCACGCGGGCATTTCCACGCAGATTGTGGTCGAGAAGCAGTTGTGGCGCCAGAATCAGACCACTCGTCACGACTTGGGTCGCGAGCGCTTCGTCGACGAGATCTGGAAGTGGAAGAATGAAAAGGGAGACAAAATCTATGACCAGTTGAAGCGGTTGGGAGTGTCTGTCGACTGGAGTAGAGCCACGTTTACGATGGACCCCAAGATGTGTCGTGCGGTCACCGAAGCGTTTGTCACACTTCACGAACAGGGGTTGATATACCGGTCCAACCGGTTGGTCAACTGGTCGTGTACTCTGCGTTCGGCCATTTCGGACATTGAAGTGGATAAAGTGGAGTTAACCGGACGTACATTCCTATCAGTTCCCGGTTATGACCAGAAGGTTGAGTTCGGAGTTCTGCATAAGTTTGCGTATAAAGTGGATGGAAGTGATGAGGAGATCGTTGTGGCCACGACGAGGATTGAGACGATGTTAGGCGACAGCGCAGTGGCTGTGCATCCTGAGGACACCCGCTATACCCACCTCCACGGCAAACAAGTGATACACTCACTCCTGGGCCGCAAAATGCCTATAGTTTGCGACGAGTTTGTGGACATGACTTTCGGAACGGGAGCCGTGAAGATCACTCCCGCCCACGACCCCAACGACTACGAGGTCGGCAAACGACATAACCTGCCATTCATTAACATTATGACAGACAGCGGTTTAATTTCGGAAAACTGTGGACCATTTAGTGGTCAGAAGCGATTCGACGCCCGAAAGACTGTTTTAGAAGCGCTTAAAGCGAACGGTTTATACCGGGAAACAGTTGAGAATCCGCAGGTTTTGCCGGTCTGTAACCGATCGAGGGACATCATTGAGCCACTCATCAAATACCAGTGGTATGTCGACTGCAAAGAAATGGCTAAGAAATCTGCTGATGCCGTCAGGAATGGAGAGCTCAGAATTATTCCTGATATTCATGAGAAGATTTGGTACCATTGGTTGGATAACATCAGAGACTGGTGTATATCACGTCAGAGTTGGTGGGGTCACAGGATTCCTATTTATTTTGCTAAAGTCAAGGGACAGACACCCGATGCCACACAGACTGAGGAGCATTGGATCAGTGGTCGCACTGTAGAGGAGGCGCGACTCAAAGCGGCGAAGAAATTGAAGGCATCGCCCGAAGACATAGAGTTAACTCAAGACGAGGACGTGTTGGACACGTGGTTCTCTTCGGGTCTCTTCCCGTTTGCTATATTCGGTTGGCCCGAGAAAACCCAAGATCTGGAGCTCTTCTATCCGGGAAACCTGTTAGAGACGGGACACGACATCATATTCTTCTGGGTCGCACGTATGGTGATGTTTGGCCTGCAATTGTTGGGCAAACTTCCCTTCAAAGAAGTGTATTTGCATTCAATCATTCGTGACGCTCACGGCAGGAAAATGAGTAAATCGTTGGGTAATGTGATCGACCCCTTGCACGTCATTCATGGCATTTCACTCGAAGATCTCCACCAAACGCTGTATAACTCTAACTTAGATCCCACAGAAATAGATCGGGCAAAGGCTGGCCAGAAGGCTGACTACCCGCAAGGCATTCCCGAGTGTGGGACGGATGCCATGCGGTTCGCCCTCTGCTCTTATCTAACGCCCGGAAGAGACATTAATTTAGACATAAAGCGTGTCGAGGGTTACAGACATTTCTGTAATAAGCTCTGGAATGCCGTTAAGTTTACGTTAATGACATTGGGCTCAGACTTTGTGCCCAATCCGACCAATAAATTGACGGGAAATGAGTCTAAAATAGACCTTTGGATTCTCAGTTCTGTCTATACGGCTACCGAAGCCTGCAATAAGGGCTTTGAAAGCTATGACTTCCCGCAGGCGACAAATGCCTGCTATAGCTTCTGGTTATACCAATTGTGCGATTTATATCTCGAAGCCCTTAAACCAGTCACTCAGTCCACTGATGCCGTGGCTATCAATGCCGCCAAACAAACGCTTTACACTGTTGTTGACGTCGGGCTCCGACTTTTGCACCCATTTATGCCTTTCATTACCGAAGAATTATTCCAAAGACTTGCGCGCAGGACTGGTAGCGAACCGCCCAGTATTTGTGTGACACCCTATCCAGAAGTGGATCAGTTTGACTGGAAAAGAGATGAACAGCTGGAAAGTGATGTCTCTCTCATGCAAAACATCATCCATAGTATCAGATCTTTGAGGTCTGAATACAATTTAGCCAAAACTAAAGTGAATCTGTACCTCAAGTTTGACGGCACCGACACTCACAACAAAATACAGCCTTTCATCGAAATAATTAAGGTTTGAAGTGAAATGAAATTGCTTTTAAAAAGGTTTCTCATTGAAGTGTTATTTCAGGTTTTGACCACTTCTTTGTCCGTTGATATTGTCAGCGACAGTACACCAGTTCCTGAGGGCTGTGCTATAGTTCCTGTCTCTGATAGCATTGAGGCATACCTTATGCTTAAAGGTTTCATTGATGTCAACAAAGAGACCGAAAGATTGAAAACAAAACGCGAGAAAATTAATGGTCCGCTCATTAAGTTGAGGGCCAGTACTGAAGCCGCAGACTATCAACAGAAAGTGCCGATTGATGTCCAGTCCGCCAATACCGACAAAATCAGACAATTGGAACAGGAGTTGAATAAAGTGTTGGAAGCGATTCAAGCGATTTCTTTAATTAAGGATTAACTACTGATTTAATAAACTTTTATCACTATTTTGTATATTTAATTCTAAATAATAACAGTTATTACTATTATTTTTATTGCTTTTGTGACCAATAAGTTCCGTTCGGGAATTCATATACTTTACGCGACTCTTCCTTTAAGTGACAACAATATCCGGGCTGTTTGGGCGCCAAATACCGGCCCGCTTTAGCTGAGGCAGCGTTTTCAAAGTGTTCGTTCAAATGGTGCACGTATTCAGTCATCCTGTTCTCCATGGAACCGCTCACTGCCACGAAGTCCCACATTGACAAGTGCTGAACATATTCGCAAAGTCCAACGCCTCCCGCGTGCGGACAAACGGGAACTGTGTTTATATAAGTTTTAGTATTTCTACAATAAATAGTTTGCATTGATAATACTTCCGAATTTATGGGCCATTAGAATAGTGGCCAGATTTTCATTGACTCCGCCCACACGACACGAATCTATTTGACAGAATTGGAATCCCTTTGACTGAAACAGTTGTTTGAATATAATTCTGTTGGGACACTGCTCTCCAGTGGCCACTCCTATGCCATACGGCGCCAGAGCCTTACGTCATGTTTGATGATATATTAGCAGTGAGTTCACGTGGTTTAGGAGTGATTGGAGGCTCACCTTCGAGATGGTCGCGTGTCCTAACGCGTCGTGTGGATGAGTGGGCTCTTCGATCCATAAGAGCTTGAAGTCAGTCAACTGTTTCATCCATTCGATGGCTTCGTTGACATCCCATTTCTGGTTGGCGTCGACCATCAGTATTGAGTCCCAACCAATCTCTTCACGAATTATAGTCAATCTAATTGTTGTTATAATCATTAATTGAATACCCAATGAAAATGTACAGTAATTTCACACCTCTTTCTGTCCTCCTCTATACTGGTGCCCACTTTGGCCTTAAGATGAATTGCATTCATTATAATCTCATAAATTAGTATTAAAAACAATTTCAAAACTTTGAATATTGAGATCAGAAATAACGAATCGCTATTAAAGATGCCACACTTTGATCTTTTTTGATAGTTTGCACCCAATATAAGAATCCATACCTTGAATCTGGTGTAACCATCGTTGAGATATTGTCGACACAACTCCCTTCGTTTCTGTTCGTCATACCCAACCCAACCGACCCTATAATCACATGTCTTATAGAAGAACTGCTAAAATACTAAATGAAAACCGAAATCAACTGACGCTGTAGTGTAAGCCGGGAATCCTTTTTCCAAAAGTTCTGCTTCTATTGAGTTTCATTTGACACAAGTTTTAATATTTTTTATAACATGTATTACTTGTGAATCTAATGAATACCTCTTTGCTGTTTATATTGTTTGTTCTTTTTCAAGATATTGATGGCTTCCTCTTTGGTTAAGACATCAGTTCTTCACAATAAATCAATCATTCAAATGAATACATCTTTTAATATTTGATGGTTTAATGCTTACATATAACGAAAGTCAATACAAGAAACCAATTGCTCGGGCTCTAAGTCAGACAAAAGTTTCCAAAGGGGTTTGCCCTCAATCTTAGCCCATAGATCCCACAGAGCGTTAACAAGAGCTCCGGTACCCATATGAAGGGCACCGCATTCGGGACCAATCCAACGGATTTGTGAGTGACAGGCAAGAGATTTCCAGAATTCACCGAAATTGCTGTATATATCGCCCAACCTTTTACCCACAACTAGATGTTCTAGCTCACGCACAGCAGTCACCACTATTTTTTTTATCAACGATAATAATCCGTAAGTACCGTAATATATACTGTATTATATTAACGTTATGTTAAGTATTACAACATTATTCCAAAATATTATAATTTTGTGATGTACACAGCAGTCACCACTATTTTTTATCAACGATAATAATCCTTAAGTACCGTAATATATACTGTATTATATTAACGTTATGTTAAGTATTACAACATTATTCCAAAATATTATAATTTTGTGATGTAAAGTTTATTTAAGAATTAACTTTTATCTATTTTGCGTTAAAGAAATCCTTTTAAAAGTCATTTTATTGCTTAATTAATTTTATTATACTTTTAGTGTTTTTGTCGAATAGATACGAAAAGTGCTAACTTGCAAATACTGGTTAAAAATGTCATTAATTAATATCTTAACTTATATGGACATAAGTTATTCTGTTGTATTCACTGTTCATAATACTGTATACAAATTCTTTAAACTCTTGATTCATATACAGTATGAACTATACAGTACATAGTTTATTTTTTTAATAAAATTGTTTCAAATTGAAATAATAATTTTAAGACTTTAACCACACAAACAATACATACCAACGTTTGTTCCCTTTCCTATGGTGAATGTCAAGCCGTGTCCCTCCAAATCATTTCTCGCGGTCTTTAAGATGACATAAGCGCACGAATAGTCGGGATCCGTGTGCTGTTCAGACATACAGTATGTTTGAATTTTACAAACATTTCATTCATTATTTATCCATTAATACCATAGCATCAGATCCATCGCCACTCAAAGAAGTGGGAAATCGGATGTCTTGCACCGTCAGTGAAATGATTGACAAATCCATTATTTTTACAAAATGTATTATTTTATTAAAATATATTGAAAATATAAAAATATATTTTAGACTACAGTAAGCACATTTGATAAATGACTGGAAATTCAATTGACACTGAATTTTAAAATAGCTATCAGTAATACCGGTTTTTAAAATTAAGTATTGGTTTACATGTCCTAAGCTAAAATAAATATTTGTTTTGTGATTAGATTACATGTTGTAGTTACATGTTAATTAGCGATACATTTTGAGAACACAACTGTTAAATGTATTCATGAATCTCTCCCAAACGCTAAGCAACTCTTTGTTTCTGCAAAATAACAGATAAAAAGTTAAAAGTTTTGCCGCAAAAAACATTAAAATCTTTGGATAAGATTAAGAAGACATACGTTTTGAATGGTTCCATGAATTGAGGGCTTTCTTTGTATAGACTCATCAATAGCGTCATATCAGAAACGGTTAATTTAGCGCTCTTTGAAGGCTCTATGATTTTCTCGACTATATCTAAGAAGAGATCTCTCATCTCTTTGCTGTGATTCAGACCATAGGCTATATTAATGACATTTCGGGACAAACTCTGCATAAATATCACCAAAAATTACACTCAATTACTGTAATATAACGTAAGCAAAACCACGCGAACTATCATCACCTTAAACATGGAGTCGATGTCAGCCAGCTTGCGATCCGACACTTTGGTCTTCAAGATTCTCATGACAAGCGTCTTGTGCTCATCGATGGCCTCGCGCTCTAACAGAACCCGTAATTCTCGCAAATTCTGTAGGAATTCCCGATCGATATCCATAGAGGTCTCCTCATACTTGCAGTCGGGGTCACTGCAGGACCAGTTGGCCATCATTTCGGTGACTACACTGCAATAGTCAGAGAACTGCAAGTATTGGAGTTTCCGTTTGTTTGTCTCAAAGCGGTTGTTAGCGATGTAGACGACGGCCGCGTATTTTTGCGCCAAATTCTTGGGCAACAAGAAGTTGGTCTGAATGTTGAGCGACAGGTTTCCCGACATGTCTTCCACTGTCTTGTAAACCCGCTTCACGTTATCAAACTGTCGCCGACAGCTCTTAATGCCGACCGATGTCTTGTCGCTCACGTCATCCAAGTCCTTGCGGTTACGTCCGGACAGCTTTTTGCCCAAAATCTCGCGGATCACCGAATCCGAGAAGTCGTAGTACTTCTCGACGAGTATGCGTTGAGTGGTTGGTGTCAATTGGTGTGTCCACTGCTCGGACAGTTGTGTGGGCGCCGGCAGTAGTTTCTCAATCAACTGGAATGTGCGGTACTGATCCAGAATATCACTGATCACCAGATCTTCGTGAACCAAACCCAACACAGCCTTCTCTTTGTTGCGGACCAAACGCGACGCCTCTTGAGCTGCAAACCAATGGTCAACACAATTGAGTCCATCCGCAAGAACTGACTCCATGTCTACCCCTAATCCCAGCCCCTGTGAACCCAACGCACAGAATCACCTAGCTACATAATTGTGTCAAAACAAACCTGTATTTCCTTCCAACCAATACTGGTATATATCGGGATCTATGAGTGTATTGTTTCCGATAAACACATCCACTTCTGTGAACATCATTTTGATGACGATTATCACCAAAACTAATCCCAATTGCAATTAATGGCAAATATTTGTTCACTAAATCAAAGCTTTTCAGAGTAGAGGTATTCACAAGAATTCAAGCCTTTTATAACATTACACTTAATATGCGGTCGGATGTGAGTTGTGGTCGGGTTTTGGAAAGTTTTATAAACTTATAAATTGTATTGTTTTATATAGTTTTGCGTACAATTCAAGTGCAATTAAAAATCTAAACAATTTTAATATCATTAATTAGTATACCATTAAAATGATAACTAAAATAAGACTTTAACGACATTAATATAAATACAAACTACAGTTGAGGGGCTTTCGTGTACAACAGTTCACAGTATATGTGAACAGATTTTTAGAGCCAAAACACAAGTCAAACGCAAACTATGTTTCAATTGAATGACCAAAATATACAACAATTAACTCATTATCGCCACAATTATCACTGAATTGAGTCCAAAGCTGATCCCAGTATTATATTTGCAATACATTTGAATGCCATACGAGTGAGACATACCACACGTGGTGGACACAAGTGGTAAACAAAGTGGTAGACTGAGTGGCGATGTCTGGAGCGCATCCAAACTCCGGACCCAATGGGATGTACTCTTCGCGCGGAATCGGTCGTCAGGCCGTCGGAGGGAGACATTCAGACCCCGACCGCAATCGGGGTCAGTATCAGAGCTCTCCAGACATTAACTATAGACCCGAAGCCTCCGATTACAACAGAAATGCTAACATTGGAAACGATCGAGACTTTGATCGCAGAGGAGGGGGTCCTCAGCCACCCAACGGTCCGCCCATTGATCGCGAGTTAGACCGAAGAGGCGCTCCCTCTCAGAGTCATCGGGACTTTGATCGCAGACACGACTCATACAGAGATAGAGATCGCGATTACGACCGAAGAGGAGGCGGTCCGTACAGAGACCCTGATTACGATCGAAGACATATCCCTCCAAACGATCGCGACTTTGATCGCAGACCTCCTCCTCAAAGCGATTATCCTCCGGGAGGACCGCGTGGAGGAGGGGGTCCTCCGCCTCCTATCCCACCGATTGATCCAGAATTAGAGCGAAGACCTCCGCCCCCAAGTCATACCAATTATCACATAAAGCCTAACATTTCTAGCGATTATGACAGAAGAGCTGAGTTCACAGGTGGAGGCGGACCTGCGGGTGGCGGTGGCGGTGGCGGTGCACCTCTCCCTCCAAGTGATCGCAAAGATTACTATAGAGACACTCTCGAAGACAACTACAAAGCGTCGCCCACAGATGGATATACACCTCCGCCACCAGCTCTGCCTCCGTCCCGCCATTATAGCCCACCGCCAGCGTCGGCGCCGCCCCCACAACCGCCTCCAAGTTATTCTAGACCCCCACTGACTGGTGGAGGGGGTCCACCACCACCTCAAAGGCCTCCGGCGCAGAGTTCGGTCGCAAACTTCGCTCCTTATGGTGTGGACGAAGACGGAGAGCCCTTGACTAAGGAGGAGATGAAGGAAAGACAATATCAGGAGAGTTTGAAAAATCTGTTCCACGGCGTCAACTCCATCGACGATCTCATCACTGTTTGTATTCATTTAGTTATACTTTTAATTGTTTACTAATTTTGTCGATTTGATGATCAGATCAAAGAGCAGTACAACGCGAAGGAGTCCTCTTTGAAGAGTATTCTGGAGAAGACTGCTGTAAGAGAGGGCGATATCCAGAGAAATAGGAACCGAAATCGAGCCAATTGTAAGGATCCGGAACTTCTGGAGATGAAGAAACTGTCGGAAGACGTGAAACAGAGACTCGAAGAAGTTTGCAAATTTAAAGTGGAAATCGACAAAAGGATTCGCGCCTACAATAAGGCTATAAAGGAGGCGATGGCTAACGACGAGCCAGACGTGAAAGAAGGCAACAGTAAAGTGGGTGAAAGTGTTGATAAGCCGAGCAATTATGAGGCACAGCTCCTCCAGAACTCATTGATCACAACTACTGTTGAAGACGAGGAGAGCGAAGAAGACGAGTTCGAGTACGAGAACTCCACCCGAGAGTACTTCGACGCCGGCTCTCATTGGTGTAGAGATTGTGATAAAATGGTGCCTAAAATATGGCCTTATTTTGAGCACTTGCACTCTCAGAAGCACTGGGAGTCGGCTACCAATGAACTAAAGCCGTGGAGGAAAGTGAAGAGACCTAACATTTCGAAAATCTGTAAGCCTTCAGACCCGATGGGCCCCAAGAAGTCAATTGCTCCGAAGATTAGGACTCCGTTGAAAGGTATGAGATATTAAATTAGTATCAGTGGTACTCTATCACTAATGAATAGCTAATGAGATTTTGTTGCAATAGGCGCTCAGTTTCTCATCCCATTGAAGGGCTTTTATTGTCCTCTTTGTAGTCAATACTTAGCCGATGATCTCATGGCTGAGGAGCATCTGAAGTCAGCCAAACATAATCGGATTTATAATGTAAGTGTTATTTCTATGATTAATTGGTGGTAACGTGATGTCAATCGTTGAAATAGCGGTTCATATGTCTGAACGTGGATTACGAGCATAAGTGGAATGCAGACAAAGGGAAGGCTCTGAACCGACATCAGGTGGCAGAGAGGAAGCGCGTCAAAGACGAGGAACAGAAAGAGTTGGAAAAGAAGAAAATAAAAGACGAGCAGAAGGTTAAGGAGGAAAAGGAGGCGAAGAAACGCAGACGAGAAGAGGAGAACAAACAGAAGGAAAAGGAGAATAAACAGAGAGATAGGGAGGAGAGGGAGAGAGACCGCTCGCTCACCAACAACTCGAGCGACAGATTTAGGCTGAAGAGTGTTACGATGGATCTGAACACTAGAGACGGTAAGAGTAAGAGAGACAAAGAGAGGGGTCGAGAGAAGGAGCGCAAGAGAACCCGAATCTATTCGTCTGATTCGGATTCATCGCCTTCTCCTCCGCGAAAGAAGAGGACGTATTTCGGTGATCCATATGAAGACCCGAAACTCAAACTCATGTCATTCGTACCGTTGAATCGACTAAACAAAAGGACTGCGAAGAAGTATCACTGTCCGGACCTTATTAAGTACATAGAGGACGCATATTTAAAACCTAAGACCCCATCCATTGCCACTGATGTGAAGCCCAGTTCTCCCATTAAAATGGATTTCGACAACAAACACGACGACAAACACGACAATAAAGAGCTCAAAAGCGCTGTCGACGACATTCTTAAGGGTTTGGGTGATGACGATGACGACGACAATGACATAAAACCACAGAAAGAAAATGTGGTTAAAATAGAAGTGTCTCCAGAATCTCCAGCAGAACCTAATGGAAGTCCAACCGATGAGAAGCCAAAAGACATATTAATCGATAAGAATAGTGACGAACAAATCGACGATAAGCCTCCGGACGAGTACCACAAAGTAGACGACGATTCACATGAAAGTATTGGTTTGGAAAACCAGTTGCAGATGGATATCGATGTCGGGGTAAGTGCTGAACCGAAAGACGAGTCAGGGATGAGAGCAGTGGAGGAAACATCTGCTGATGAGAACAACGATTCTGAAGACAAACCCAAAAGTCCATAAGTCTCACAAATAGTCATTCATTCCTTAAGATATTCTATTTTTTTTGTAATTACTGACCATAAGAATTAAAGTGTTTTATTAGTTTTATTTATTCGTTACAAAATTGAGTTTAGCATTAATTATATTACCGAATATTTATATAGAAATCCAAAATATTAGAAGAGATGCAGACTTTGTTTTGTCGTTTACTTGAAATTGAGGCACAAATCACTCGAGTGCTCATCTCATGAATGGGTCACAGGTTTAGTCCCATTTGAGACTCGCGGCCGCATAGCTGACGGACGAGTCGTGCATATATAGGCAATGACTCGATTGGGCGTAGTTTAAGAACTTAAGCGCCGGCTTCTCATCGCTCTCCGACTCATTCACCAACTCATGGACGGCCTAAACAGTCACACCATTACAATAGTGGCATTAAGTGGACAGTTGTCTTACATTGAGAAGCACTCCGATGGGATGTCGACCACATATAGTGTTTCCGTATTTTTTCAAATACGAGGTAAATCCGGAAGGGATTAGTTTTTCGATGGTATTCATGCCCTTCAATACAATGCAATAAATGTGAACTCAATGGACAAACAAGACATGGATTGGACTAACAGTTTCGTCCAGTTTCTGAATGGACTGATGGATATCTCCATTTCCCTTATCGTAGTACTGATAGCTGAATCTCGCGCCCCAGTGGCAGAAGTCCGATGATATGACAAACGCGTTGTCCTTATCGGCCAAATACTTGCTGAACAGTTTGCCGTAAAGCGCCTCCTTCTCGGTGTTCAGCGAACCCACCAAAACGGGAACTATTGTCAACGACTGGCCCTCCATTACTTTGGCCACAAACGGCAAATGCATTTCAATGCTGTGCTCCTCTTCATCGGTCTGAAGAGTCATCTCTTCAAACATGGAAGTGTCGAAGAGTTCGCTGTAAACTGTTCACACGTTTCCACAATTAATGTCTCAATATTTGCTCACAAATTGTCGAAAATTCTTACTCTTCTGATCGATATTCAGATCGTAGAGCGGAGTCTTATAGACCTTCGCTGGCGAGAGGGCACAGCCTCCGAGTCGCACGTGATGTGCCGGACCTAAGATGAAGATCCGCTTACTGTGTGCACACAACAGACAATCCATTAATTCAATGCATAATTCACAGACAATTAATGGTAACAAACGTCTGTTGCGGAGAGATTTCTTTGTAGGCAAAGGCAGCACAAGCGCCGCAGTACTGATAGCCGGCGTGTCTGCCATGGGATCAGATAAGCGTTAATGAGTGGTAATAATCACTTAATCTGTAGCTTACGGTGCGATGATAGCCCGGGCCGGTCCATGGGTCGACGGCCCCGCACTCGACAACCAGTTCTCCAATTGGTTTCGCAACTCTTTCGCTAATTATCACATTCATTGAGACAACCATTAAGTCAGTGGTTAAACACATCAATGGATTCATTACCAGATCCAGAGTACCAACTGTTGGAATGCGTGGCCTTTCGCACTGAAGACATCTGTAATTACTTCCGTTTACCACAGATTTCACGAAACAATTTATTTCAATCTATAGACTCTTGGATCAGATTATGTAATCGATTGAGTGGCGAGTTGTCAACACTTGCCAATCGGTCACTTCACTGTCAATGGTGTGAACGGTGGCTATGAATGTGTGGTAATTGTGTGTGAATTGAGTTCAGCTGACAATCAGTGAACAGTTTGACTCAAAACTAGGTTTACATTTGGTTTGCATTTGACATCAAATACATCCCAAACCACTCCTCCAGACACTCAGTCTTTATGACATCACACGCTCTCTCAGCCAATCACTGCTCGCAACACACCTTATGTCCACACAATTAGGCATTTCATCGCATAATCTCTTCATTCATTACGTTATGCAACATTTGAAGGCATATATTAACTGTTGAGTGATTTATGCAAACATTCACATAAAGGGCGCAAAAGGGGCCTAAAATTCATAGATAAAAGGCATCGATATATTTGTATGAGTTGTGAGAACTTTAAACAAGTGATTAATTGAATAGACATTTAAATGATTGTTTGTTTGCATTGAATGCGATACTTATTTATAGTATATTTTACACTAATTACAGGTATTATATGCATACAAAACACTTATTCATGATTGCATTCAAAGTCATCAAACTATTGTACAGTAAATGCAGTTCACAAATGTTTGCCAATAAAACAATAGCACTTAGACTTACTATCGGACATGAAATTTGTTTGATTTTAGTTAAACTGTGATTACATTTAGTTTAGTTTATCTCACTTTTGTTTAGTCTAATCACTATTCAAACCAATTTATATTAGACTCTCATAATTAGACATTGCTTAGTTTTGATCATTGTGTCATCAAGTTTACGGTATACATGTTAATAAACCATTAAACATAACCAAGTTCAATTAGATTTGACACTAAATCCCTATTACTGTACAGCACTGTCAATGCCAGAGAGGGTGTGAATGGGGGGCCCATTGGGGGGTCACTGACTGACTGTCATTGGATCACATGTTTGACTGACAGACGTCGTGTTTGTTTGTATGCAATAACGGGGTTATACTGTACTGTAGTGTATGTGTGTTCATGAGTGGGCGGTGCTCTACGATCGGCAACTGTTTTGAACGGATTGTCACACATTAGCCATCAGTGGATCCGTTGGTGCAGCGCTTGTGGTGAGCGATGAGTGACTTATTGGACTCGAGTTGTGGTCAGTCTGTGGTGCGTCTGGTCTCACGAGGAAACGCCATAATCGCGGAACTGTTGCGTCTGTCAGAAGTGGTGCCAAATGTGTTCCGATTGGACACGAAATCAGACCAAACCAAGTACTCGGAAGTGATTTGTGACTTCAGTTACTTCAAGACGTGCGACGCCTATGACAACCGCATTGAATCCAATCCTCAACTCCTCGACAGAGACGAAGAGTTTCGCGAAAACTATATCGAAATACTGACGCGTTTTTATCTGGCCTTTGAAAGTGTCCACAGATTTACCGTTGATATCAACCGCTATGTCGACGACTTGGAGGAAGGCGTGTATATCCAGCAGACACTGGAGTCAGTACTTCTGGATAACGACGGCAAACAATTACTGTCGGAAGCGCTATATCTGTGCGGAGCTATGCTTCTGGTGGTCGACCACCGGATCGACGGACTCGTGAGGGAACGCATTCTGGTCTCCTATTATCGATACAGCGCTCAGCGGTCGACCTCCGACTCCAACATCGATGACGTCTGTAATCTCCTCCGAAGTACTGGTTATTCGCCTTCTGGCAGACGTCCCGTCAATTACCCCGAAGACTACTTCAGACGCGCGCAGATTCGGCCAAATTTGGTGTCTTTAGTGATCGGAAGAATGAGATCCGACGACATCTACAACCAGAGCAGTGCTTACCCCCAACCCGAGCACCGGAGTGTAGCGCTGGCCACTCAGGCAGTCATGCTATTCATCGCTCTGTACTTCTCATCCGATATACTGAGCAACGAATCGGCGGCCATGAGAGAGATCGTCGACAAGTTCTTCGCCGACAATTGGGTTATCAGTGTTTATATGGGAATTGTTGTCAATTTGGTGGAGGAGTGGGAGCCCTACAAAGCGGCCAAACAGGCTCTCGCCAACACCATCGACGCCAAGAATATTAAGAACCATTCATATAGACATCACTCGAAAATTGTGAAACTGTTGCCACAATTGCAACAACTCTTGAAAGAGGGGAATCTTACTGAAGAGATAGTGTTGGACAACGTCTCCAAACTCATGAATCTGATCCGTGACTGTAATGTTACTCTTCGGTGGCTAACACTACACACGTGTCAACACAATATCAGTGAAGCGAATATTGTCAGCAAAAAGTGTAAACAATTAAAAGATTTGGTGGTAATTGAGAGCAAATACGATCCGTTACTTGTGTTTCAATTGCTGTTAAATACGGCAGAGTTTGAGCTGAAGATCAAAGACATGTATAAACAGCTGCTGAACGATAAACAGGAGAAATGGAATTTCTATAAAAAAGAGTGTTTCGAACGGATCTCAGAGTTGGCGGAAGTCTTCTCCGGTAATAAACCTCTGACTCGAGTCGAGAAGAACGCAAACTTAGAGCAATGGTTGACCGAAATGTCCAAACAAATCGATGCCTTGACTTTCGATGAGACAACTGTTACCAACAGAAAGACTATTCAATTGATTCAAGCGCTGGAAGAGGTGCAGGAATTTCATCAGTTGGAAAGCAATCTACAGGTGCGACAGTTTCTCAATGATAGCCAGAAACTGCTTCACTGTATGATTAAGACACTGAATATCAAAGAGGATGTGTTGATAACCCTTCAAATAGTGGGTGACCTGTCGTACGCCTGGAAGATAATCGACACGTCATTCACGCGATACATGCAGTCCGGCATAAAACGAGACCCGACTCTAGTCATCAAACTTAGGGCTACTTTCCTGAAGCTGGCCTCAGCTCTCGATATGCCTCTCCTCCGCATAAACCAAGCCTCCAGTCCTGACTTAGTCTCTGTTTCGCAATACTATTCGTCGGAATTAGTGTCTTATGTCCGCAAAGTCCTTCACATTATCCCCGAAACAATGTTCAGTCTTATGGCGCGTATAATAGAGTTACAGACAAATCATATCAAAGAACTGCCGACTCGTCTCATGAAAGACCAGTTGAAGGCATACTCGCAGTTGGAAGAGAGACACGAAGTGGCAAAACTGACACATTCTATATCTGTGTTCACTGAAGGCATACTCGCCATGAAGACCACTCTCGTCGGTATCATTCAAATTGATCCCAAAAGACTGCTCGAAGACGGCATTCGGCGCGAGTTAGTCATACAGACGGCAAATGCTCTTCACAGGGGACTGGTATTCAATTCCAAATCCAAGACCAGTGAACTCGTCACTAAACTTAAAGCCTTGGCTCAAGTGATGGATGGCTTTCGGCGATCGTTTGAATACATTCAGGACTACGTGTGTATATATGGGCTGAAGATGTGGCAACAGGAGGTCTCACGGATTGTCAACTATAATGTGGAGCAGGAATGCAATGCTTTTATGCGCCACAAAGTGCTCGATTGGCAGAGTATATACCAGTCAAAGTCGATCCCAATCCCTAAGTTCTTACCTATGGATCCCTATTCCGTCAATTTTATCGGTCGACTCGCCCGCGAACTCTTGAGAATGACTGATCCCAAGTACTTGTCATCACTTTATCACTATTACAATAAATTAATTGATTTGTAAATTACAGGACAACGATATATGTTCATGAAATGAGCACTTGGTTTGATAATAAGACTCACGTGGAAGTAGTGGATTCCAAACTATTCCCTCTGATGATGGTATCATTTTCATAGTTTTCTAATTACCGTAAATCAATGTTTAAAAGATAAACGTCTAAACATATAGAAAAGCATCGGAACCGCTGGAATCAATGGGTTGGATCGACTCATATCATTCATGATTTTGACTGAAATCCAAAGCATTCTTCAATATTTGGACAGAAATTTTACAAAAGATAAAGTGTGGCCACAAATACTCTTAGATATCAATGAAAATTTGGATGCAATCGATGGAAAAATTACAGGTTTTTAGTGAAGTTTATCAAAAAATTGTTTAAATTTCTGAACAATTGTTTTATTATAAAAGCGACACATTTTACGCGAATCTTCGGTCCGGCGCTCACCAGAGCATCCAAACCATTGCCAGTTGTCTTCGATGCATTGGCACGTATCGGACAAATGCAGATAATTCGCTGTAATATCGGCCACGAGTTGAACACAAGCTGTAAATTTCAATCCAGACATTTGGCTAATGCTTTGCAAACACTCAATCAGTTCGTCTCACCATTTGATTGCAAAGTATTTGTATTAATTGTTTGTTATCTTAATGAAAGGGCAATAATATCTGATTTGGAACATCACTGCAACACTTCCAACAAGTCGTTCCTCAAAGAAGACACTCCTTTGCTGTTCGAACTGACCAACTATTTGGAGTGGACAGGCATTTCTGATCCCCTCTCAAAGGTATCGTATTCTGTATGTCCTTACAATCATTGAACAGTAAATCAATGTTTTGCTCCCAGATATACATCACTTCAAGAGCGCCTCCATATCTTGAGTTGATATCATTTCTGCTGACAATAACACAAATCGGAAAATTCGTTTACATTAAAGCCATCCATGGATTGGGGGCTAAGAAGGGAAGCGATCATTCGGATGGACTGCCATTCGTGATGGGAATGATCACATTCTTGAGACAATTTCATGAGAACACTACCCATCAGTTTATAAGCCATTGCTCTCAATATGTTTGCGCACAGACGGAGATCCAGACAGCTCTCAGGTCTCACACCTTTCATAACTGTTGAGTCATTTGATTAACAAAAATTGTTTTCCATTTTTAGTTCACCGAAAGTGACAGAAATGTCTTCAGAAGCGTACAATACTTTGGAATTTTTGGATAATTTCATCCGATTCTCGGGACTCCAACGCAAACTCGTTGTCCAGAATATACCGGACTTTCTGTTCAATCAGTTCCACTCCATCCTCACACCAACCAAATAGTGTTTCAATTAGTTATTTGTTATACATTTAGAAATTTATTTTTTTAAACAAATCTATAAATAATATAAAATCAATGCTTTAAATGAGATAACAATGAGTATTAATGACTGGTTCCGGTGCTCTCATGAGTCATGGCTACCACTCAGAACTGGTATTCTTAAAGACAACTCCTTTCTCTGCCAACGCTTTCATAATGAGGACAATGTTATGGCAGTCATCGATCCCGGAGTGGAGGCGCCCTTTGGGTGTAATATTGAGCGCTTCCAACATATATGTCATACTCTTGGGCCAAACGCCCTCTGAGTTGGCGAACGCCTTCTTCACGTTCACCCATGTCTTCATATACTGGGGAATCCTCAGGGAATCGAGTTGACACTGATTGGGAAGCATAAGCTGCAGATCCCATTCCCCACACGTGACAAATGTGAACTTCTTGAGATGCCTCCAGTGATCATCACATATGAGTCCAACAGAATGTAACCAATGGTTGAAGTCGTTGAGCACCACATCGAAGGTCTGTTCGTTGGCCACCATTTCATCGATAATTCCCTGTTATTTGTATTGAAAAGTGTTTTCTCAATAATATTTGCAATTTATATGAAATATTAAAATAAATACAATAATAGTTAACTTAAATGTTGTCATAACTTACCGTTAATTGAGTGCAAAAAGGGGTCAAATTTGGGTGATGTTTGGGTCTCACGTATCGGTGAAAGACTTCTTCGGTTAGAAATGTGTTTGCGTTGACTTTAAGCACCGGGAACTCAATGATCTCCATGGGATCCACTTGTTTGGGTCGATCACACGTCGCCTCGAAGTCCAGTACAAGAAAATAGTCAAAGTTTTGCACATTTTGTCCACTGTTGGCCATTTGTTTGCTCTTCACTGATGACAACCAACTCGACGGACGACTAGTTGTCCACAAATGAGACACAAACAAGTGGTTCACTTTCAGACACTTCAAGACACTTGACATATGAGTGAATTGAGTGGAGATTTTGGTCACAATTTGCAACTTTTCATAACATTTCAAATTATGTCAACATTTGAGTGAATCACATGTTTTCCTATTCAATGCATTCATATATGCCGTTACATGAGATATTCTGGCAATTGGTTTGAACTGGATATTTATTTTATGAATCTGTTTCTAAGAATATACCTATAATTAACATAATAGACCTAGTACACAACAATTATTATGCAAACCAGTATTAAATGATCACCAATTTTATCATATGATCACTTAATGTCTAAAATTTTATTCAATTATCTCTAAATATATTTACAGTAATTGACATAAAATGGGACAACAGTTTACAAAACATGCATTTAATCTCATATCCAATAATGAACTCATTTTGTGCTCATTTTAAGGCACTTTTCATACAAATTTAATACGAATTAAATTAATTCATACTATGTTTTAAATTATTTTCTTATAAATTATATTAAAAAGGAAAACTCATAAATTATAATTTAAAGCTTAATAACAATACTTTCAAATAAATATAAATAATTATTATAAATCTTAAAAATGACTAAAAAATACTAATTCGATGAATGAATGTATTTTGTTTTCTTTCTTAAGTGTATATCTAGTGTTGAAGTTATTATAATACTCTATTGAGACCAATAAGCCAAACTGATCAGGAGAACTTTTTGCAGTCAACTTCAAGAACTTTTGAAATTCCAAATCTGTGTCCGAGAGTTGGAATCGCAGTGATCGGCGGTAATACCAACATCTGTTGCAAACTTCGAGTCCATACATAGATTTGCAGTCAAGTGTTGGATGTGATGGCTGTAAACTCGACTCCATTTCTGTGCAAAACATACACTTAATTAGAGACAACCGTATAATACAATTTCAGACAGGATTTCATTACTTGATTATCAGCGCCGTTACATTGAGAAAGAATAACAGGTGTATTAGCCTGTGAACCGGTAATAGTAATGCACATATTGTTGTGAACAATAGTGCCTTCTTTGGTGAACGTCCACTCCTGGTTAGCTCCCTGTCCATGACATGTATAAAAGCCCACCGATTCGCCAAAATTGTGTCCCAAAGTGTCCAAACAGTGATCCGACTGAACGAAAGCTCCTTTGGGGTCGGGTTCGAAGGGAACGGCGAGTTCGGGGTAAACGTTGTCTAAAAACCATTTAAATGGTTTGCAATGAAGACTCTCTTTAAGCGCCAGTCTCTCAGATATATCCCCAAAATCAATGAATTTTGCGGCCGGATATGAGTCGTAATAATGCTTTTTGTAGTCATCCATCCAAACCTCAGCTGCTCTCCTATATGTCCACAATATATGATAATTCATTACAACATTGATTCACAATATACTCAAATCAGTATAAACCTGGTATTCCTGGCGAAAACAGTTCCACTGCCGCCTGGAAACACATACGGGTGTCTAAACAGTATAAATCATATCTAAGATTAATCACCAAAACTATAACTTTTTTGTAATTACTGTTTTCTGAACACATGTCCCACACGACTGCACGGAATTATCTCCAGTTCCCCACCACAGAGCCAAACCCGAAAAGAAATCTCTAAATTCTCGCCACCCTTTGGGACACAAATATAAATGATTAATTGTCATTCAATGGTAAGAATATGACATGACTGACCCATATATCCATTTTGGTGTCGTATTTGCCTAACCTATCAAATGTAGTCTTATTCACAGAGAAGAGTCCGCCGGCGATCATTGGTGTCCTGTAATCATATAAATCATAATACAGTTTATATTCAATAATCGCCATAAATATGACTCACTTTATCGGTGAAATAGGATCAGGGCGATTCTTCCTCACCTCGGAGGGCAAGTATTCCCACTTAAACACTAAATTCCAATCAAAACCTCCCCTTAAGTCGGAAGAGGCGGCGATATATCGAAAGGTATCCATATTTAAGACATCAATGATTGGTGAGACGACTAGATTTGGGTTCTAATCAATCATCAAATAAATGGTTCAGTGAATGCGTTAAATGTGATCAATATGTGGACCCGTCATACCTCCCCAACCCTGGCGAGTAGCGGCTCCAACCAACCGGTATTACACTCGCAGTGACTGTCCAAAAAAGTTAGTACCGGTGCGGTGGCGGCGTCGGCCCCCGTGACCCTCGACCTCATGAGACCCTCTCTCTTGTTGTTGCGAATGTTGCGAACCTTTTGTATTTTGGAGAGCTCTTCGCCATCGGAAGGATTATCACTGAAATCGTCGACTAAAATGATTTCACGTATTAAATGTTCGGGACTTCTGTTGAGAACCGACACAATAGTCCTGAGAAGTGTGGATCGGGCCTCGTTGTGGAACGTTATGACAACACTGGTGGGGAACAGTAGCTTTTGGTCGTACTCTTTGGTCAAACATTGATAGCTACGGGTGTCGGGAATGATACGATTGCTGGGCAGCCGATCGCTGGCCATCTGATTGAACTTATTTCTGGCGTAAACGTCTCCATTGGGAGGAATAGTAGCCCTCGAGATGTACTCCTTTTCGTCGAAATAATTCCACAAAACCTTATTCTCGTCGCTCTTTTCGGTCAATGAGTTGTGAGTCAATGAAAGTGTGGCCGAAATCACGTAATCGTCTTTCAGTCGTAAAGCTTTGTTTTCCTATAAATCAAATGTAGTTTTCTTTTCCCATTACAAGTACTTTAAATATATTTAAATCAATGCAAAAAAGTTTGTCAAAAGTTTGTGCGATTCGTAAGAAAAAAGGCCTAAAGTTCTGCTAATTATAAAAAGCATTGAGAAACGAGTTTTTTATGAATTATATTTTTTCTAACTGTGAATTCATGACTAAAAATACAAAGTGTATGCTTTCGTGAAGGACTGGTAGTCTTTTCTGAAGGAATATCCTTGAAGTTCATCAAACTCTTAGTGAAACATAAGGTGTTTTGAAGCGCGAAATAATACATATTTATAATAACCGACACATCCATTAATGAGAGCTAATTGTTTGAATAGATTTACACTAAATATATATTTTTTGAAATATGTTTTTCTGTGCAAACATTTGCCTTTCCTTTTAAAACTTATTGTTCACGTCAAATGTATACATATTTTTTTTACATTTCATAACTAATTTCAAACTAATTTGGAGCTAATTTTGAGAGTTTATTACAGACTTATGTTTAATATGGGAATCAATGTCAGGGATTAAAGGCATTCAACAAACTATGAAATAATGAGTAAATTATGATATAATTTAAACACTTTATATAAAACAAAAAGATATCATTTAATCACTTAAATAACAATTTAATGTAACATTTGTTTGAATAGTTTGTGATTCAATATAATGAGATATTCTTGAGATTAGTAATGGATATGAAAAGTATGAAAGTATTGAATGACAACTCATATGAGACTAAAGACTACATTATAATCAATGGGAATATTATCCATGAATTTCACATTCAATTGCTATACAAATGTGAACACAATTTAACGGTTTGTCTCTTTTCACACCAATTACTGTATTTCAGACATTTGCACACAATTATGGATCAGATAATCATATGAATACATGACCAATGAGCCAGGTGATCTCATAAATACGATAACATCTAGATACAATGATTTAATTTCATAGATACCATCATTTGGTCACTCAATACAAATAAGATGTATTCATAGATAAGATATAGATATGTATTAATGAATGGATATATAAGTAATGAACAAATGGGTGATAATTACCAATGGATTCGTGGATTGAAGTGAAGATGCATTGAATTTGATGAACGAAATGAAAGCAATCAATAAAATGGGAATAAAGAGGAGATATTTGAATCGCCTTAAGAATAGTCTTCGGAAACTCATTGTCAAATCCAATCGATGGCTAACTCATGAGTACCATTCATAGACCACTTCTTGAGATGAGCGCACATTCACTGAACATATATATAATACTCGTATTGATTACTATTGCTATTAATACTGATTGTAAATACAGTTATAATTTATATACAAAACCAAAACCAATATTTGGTCTCAAAATAGGTTTGAATGCATTAATAAGTGTGTATTAAAAGCAAACACATATTCATAGCGTCAATGTTGAGCCCATTTAAGCCAAACATATCGAAATGGAAATTAAAATTCAATTTTCAAATAATAAATACTTTGAAAAAACAATAAAATGAATGAATGTTTGAATGTTTTCATTGAAGTGAATGTCAGCTGATATTGAATGCGAGATAAGAGAGACTAGAAGTGCAGTGAATGCTATCAATAGTAGCGTTCAATACAATGCACACAAACGCTATGCTATGCCATGAATACAATGCAATGCAATAGCCTTTCACTGCAAACACATGTATGAAATGCCAAAAACTGGTCCCTCTTTTCAAACCGAGACATAAGGTATGCGTTTAGAACATAGACTCAGAAGGAGGGGCCATACCATCCATACATCCATACCATACCATCCCATCGATTCATACCCTTCCCATTCAAATACAATATACAGTAGTGTTTAAAGACTTATTAATTCTTTATTCAATTCGTTTTCATCTATTATTACATTATTTTATATAATAATAACTTTATTTACAGATAAAAATGACTTAAAATAATTAGTATTTTGTTAAAATATATTACACAATACAGTATTAATACAATTGGTTTATTAAATATTATTTAAAATCTTTTGTATTCCAAACAACATTAGAGACAAGTGTTAAATGAATTTTTAGACTCATTATTAAAAAGTGACTAATATTTGCAAAAATGGGGTAAAAATGAGTTTTGAATGAAAAATTGAGTTTTCGTTAAGTTATTTCAACACTCAATGACTTTTCGACAGTCGGTTCGGACTCTTCTTCGATGCCTTCCGTCAGTAATGACCGGTTGGTTGGGGTCGACATCACATCAAAACTGCTGACCATTCTTTGCCTCACCTGATCTATAGTGTCCAACAAGTTCTTCGAGTTAATCACAAGAATGTGTGCCGACTCTAACATGGCTTTCCTGTATTCACCTGTAATTTAAGACAAACAAATCAGTCATTTGTGTCGATAATCACTGAAATGCCAAACAAGAACTTGCTTTCAACGGTTGTCCGACTGTATTGTTGCGCTAATTTCATGGCCTGAACCAAACCGGCCATATCTTTGCTCAACACTTTGTGAGTCATCTCGATCTCCCGGTGCGACCAAATGGGTAGAGTAGTAAAAAGCGCGTCAACGCTGGCTAACAATCCCCTCAACTCAATGCCGACCGCCTATAGAAAAAAATAAATGATTAGTTTTGTCGACAAAAAAAAGTAGTTTTTCAACAAAAATAACATTTGACTGATTGAGGGAAAGGTTGATTACCTTAACTAATTCGAGATACTGCTCAACCCGGGCCTCCTGTACCCCTTGTAATAGATATCTGACTGCATTGACCACATTCATGGTGTAGTGGTAGACGTCATCGCGAGTCCGGTCGAGATCGGCGGTCGGCGTCGTCTCCAATGGTGTGGAAGCGTTGGAAATACTGCTTAATGTACTCAAAGTACTGGAATTGTTGGTCCCGTTTGACAATACTTTGGAATGATTTGATGGCACGCCTTAAGACACAAACAGACATTGAATGCAAACATTAGGTTTACATATAAAACAATTGTAGTGTGAAAGACGAGAAAATGATAGCAAATTATAGGTAGAAAACGAGTTTTACTGTATTCGACGACTGGATTAATGGGCGAACATCTCTGTTGCTCACAATTATTGTGTTCAACGGAATCACATAATGATAATCGTTTGACTGAAGCCAGTAATTGCTTCTCCTCTTTGGCCAACCATTTCGAGTCTTCTTCGGATTCCTGTTTCTGTTGTTTTAGTCTTATTTCCAGCAATTGTTTGTCGAACTCAGCCTTTTCTGCTAATTCCTGATTGCAGTCAAAATGTAATGCAATTAATTGACGCAAACAAAGCAAATACAACAACAAAAATAACTTTTTTCAATCCAAATGAAAAATATTTTAAAATCAAAAAATCAACAAAAAGACCGCAAAAAACTAACGAAATGAACAAAAGTTTAGAAATAAAAGTTTAGAAACAAAACAAAACGGAAACCAAAATCCGAAAATGCATGCAAAACACAATGAATGAGTGATGGGAAAGCCAGTTGTCACCTTCGGTTCTGTGGCTGAGTTGGAAGTACTCGAAGTATTTGAGGAGAAACTCTCCTTTCGGACTATTTTGGTTGGAATGCTCTGCACCTGAAAATTGAATGGAAATTATGCAACGAATCCAAACCACAGCCCATTCACAGCCAACACAATCACCGTTTAGTCAAATATATTTCCGTATAAATTATTTTATGTATTTTTTAATCAAAATCTAATCGAGAATTTGAGACATTGTCTATAAATTATGGCTCAACTAATAGCCATAAAAGATTAGACGCTAATAAACCACTCACTATCTTGATATGTTTATTATTATTAATACAAAGAATTTAATCGTTTAAATCAGCCAAATAATTTTCAATCACTTTTTAAAGCATTTTTGTATTAATTAGATCCCACTTGTGAGGGGAACGGGAACCCACACACCAACCCATTATCGATTAATTTAGATTCATATATAATGTCAAGCGATTAACTCATTCATGGGTTCATTGACAATGAATTTAAGTCTCTATACATTGAGAATTGAATTGAACAGCATTTTTTAAATGACTACAACAAAAAAATTAAAAATATATTTGTAATAAAATTATATAAATAAATAAACACTAAAATAAATATTTAGCTAGAATTATTTTTAGCATTATTTTTAATGTATTGATTAAAAATAGATTTATAACAACCTTTAAATAATTTATATGACTTCGGCGATAATAATAATGTTATTTATTTAACAAAATTTGTTTATTTAAATCAAAACCAATTGAAATTGGAAAATTATATGAAAATTGGGCTCACTTTCAATGCCTTAATAAATAGTTTTGAAATAAGACATACTTTTCCCTACAAAATGGGTTAACAGTCAAGAACTCTGGTCTAACTTATAAGGCAATAAATTTTAACTTAATTTTTTTAATAGAGTTAAAACATGAGATATAAAATATTTATCTCGATTTGCATTTTGGTATTATTTTTCATTGATATTTATGTGATATTTATTACTTCTAAAACATTTCTCTAAATTCTAGCACATCTTCAATATAATATATTATGTATAAAAAGATTGTATTAAAAACACAATAATATAAAAGATTTTGGTATTTAAAACTGATTTCAAAGAATAAGAACTTAAATAATAAGAATAAGACAAGTATTAAACCAAAAAGATTATTGTGTAGTGAAAAAAGTAGATCTCAAGTTTGAATTGAACATAAAATGTCAAATAACAGGAAAGTGATAAAAGTCCTCGACTGTCGTGTAAATTAAAGTGAGATCTCAAGTGAAAGTACACGTGAAATGAATTCACACAATCAAAAACACAAATTCTCGCGGATTAAGACAAACTTGAAAGAGTCAATAAATATAGTAATGGATTAAGTGTTGGAGAAATGGTAAGTACTGTACCGCGAAAGTGTTGGATGGGGAGGCCGGTGCGTTATAAGCCCAGGCGGGGGGCAAGAGATGAGCGTTTTCTGTCATCAGTTGCGCCAAAACCTATTAATAGCCAAAACCATTACATCAGTGCCGCGAATGTTAAACAAATAAAAATG